GTTCACTGTAATTGGTCAGATAAATCACACAATTTGTTCCAGTTTCTTCACTGACTGAAGGCTATATCCAAAAAAGGACTAAGTATCTGAAGTACAACCTATGTAGAATTTAGGTGCAAACCACAAAATTCCTCCCTAGCCACTTAAGTATCTGAGACCCTGCAGGTAACTACATTTCCAACTGTATAATCACTAAGGATCCTAAAGTTCTAGTGCCACACATGCTCAGAAGCACTGCATCTTGGCAGAGCTGAGCACCATGGCACCTATATCGCTCCTAATGCCCGCTGGGTTCACAAATGAATTGTTCCTGACTCTAGGTACTCTTATGGGCTTAATCTTGTCAGTGCGTTCAGACCATGTGTAACATACACTAACAGTAATGAGCTGAGCACAGCAACCACTTCCATTTAAAAACTGGCTGAGAAATGAGATGAAAAGGGAGGGGTGCTGGTACTTTCCTGTAATAAAGGAGTGGTTAGAACATTTGCCCAAGATGTAGGAGACCGGTTCAAGATTTTTCACTCAGGTGATCAGTCACCTAACACACAGGCATGGCAATGATCAGCTTTGTCACACCTGTACCCCTTTGTGGACCCCGGCCTGAGGATATCAGCTTTTGTAACATTGTGGCAAATGTCAAGTCCAAGTCTACAGCTGGTCTATACATACATGCATCCTTGGCATTTTCTTTCTGCAAAACTTGGTAGATTATGCTTGAGCACATAATTAGTCATGTAAAGTGGACATCTAAGCAGCATAAACATGGCAGACATGAGATGGTTTAATAATGTTAGGCAATGTTCCTGGGGACTTGTATGTAGAATTTACCCAACTGTATTTCTTAATTTCTACTCCTATGGCACCTTGGAGATTGGCACTATTTATTCTTGCCCTGATTCACTGCTGACTTCTACACTGCCTCATCTGAAAAACTGGTTAGGTTCATTCTAACTGATGTATTTACACTGTAAAACACATGCTTAATAACCACCCAAATGCCCTTTGAAAGGTTGTTGTTTTCCATATGCTTACCAGAGGTGCTAGCTATACTGTAACAACATTTAATACATGCAAAATATACTGAACATAAGAAAAAAACAATAGACTTCTCATGGGGACATTAGACAAGAACTGCATAACTGAGTTATAAAGCAACACACAATTTTGGGACTGTGGGTTCAGCCATCTGTTTTTGTCTTTGCTTTTTTTCTTGAAGCAAAATCTCACAGGATGGCAGAATCAGGACCTTTATTATTTGGTTTTATAAGTATGTAAAGTGTCTTTAACTCCCAATCTTTACATCGATCCCTTTTCCTTATACTGTTATCATCATTGCTGGAAAATAAATTAAGATTTGGACAATCTGATCCTATTATCTGACTCAGACAGACAATATATTTAGGGTCAGATTTTGGCTTTAGTCTCTATCCTGTGATAGAGAGAATGCAAAATGGTTACACTGCTATGAAAGCCAATGAAATAATTTTAACCATCTCAGGAAGAATTTTTCCTTCTGCTACAAAAAAGTGAATGGCAGAATAGCAGCTCTATCACCCTTAGCATTTTCCCAAAAAAGACTGTTCTTCATCCATAGGCAGGAATGAGGGAGAAGAGATCCTTGTGTTTACCCGAATCCCTTATGTACCTATACAGGGATAAGCATAAATCAGTCCTTATCTGTACTAGCTTGACACTGAAGCAGTCTTGTGCTTGACAATTGACTTTGTGAGAGACATGAATAGTACCAGCGTTTAAAAAAGGTAATGCAAATGCAAGACTTTTGATTGGGTGTATTATTGGAAAACGGTGTGTTCTTGTCTAACTTTTGACCATGAATTCTTTCTAAAGTTTGCTACTTGAGGAAACATTTAGAACACATCCTCCACTGTCAGGTTGCATCCTAAAATTATTTTTTTCCTAGGGATAAGTACCCCTATGTTAGTTCTCTATTTTAAAAATATCTATGAATTTAAAATGCTGAATCACATTTTAATCAATGACTTCTTAAATAGACACTATTTACATGGATCATAAGGACATACTCACCTTCAGAAATGGCTAGATGTAAAACAAAAGATCTCCCCAATCATCAGTCCCATCCCCGGGTACAATATCTAAACACATCAAACATGCAGTGCACAAGAGAGATGCAGTAGAGAAATACGACGGGGTAGATGGCCACAGAACCAGACAGGAGTGCAAAGAGAATGAATGAATATTTTAAAACATCAAACAGAGATCAAAACCGGAAATAGATCTAAATGTACACAGCATAACTCAACACTACAGGAAGCATCATCAATATAAGGACAAGGTATGTTAAGACATGAGTCAGAGTCAACCTCTAAAATCTGTGTGCACAGCCATGTTTTTGAGTAAACTGGTGTTATATTTTGCACTGTTAGAGTTTGGTCAAACTTGGTATAATTTGATTAATCTTCTTATAGGTTTATCTTGTTGCAGGTTTCATGTGGCATTTTGCAGAAGATAAAAGCAAAGCTGAGGACCCCTTTGATAAGAAGAAAAATAACCTGTCCTACATATATGCCTGATTCAGAATGAAAAATATGAACTTTCCATCATTAAATACTAGCAAGTCCATAGGATTTTGCAACCTGTACATGTTTTACATTCTTTTACACATAAAATCAGGCAGGCTTAAGGTGAACATATGACATGTTTAAAATAAAGGGACAATGCCACCTACTTGCAATCTCATTTTTCTTAAATATGGAAATCACAGACACATGGGAGGTAACACCTGCGTGCTTTGGGGTAAACCCTGCATCTGCCTCCAGTGTCACTAAGACCTAACTGCTGCTGAGCCAATACAGTCACACACAGTGGAAAGAACTGAATTTGAGAAGGCTCACATCATGTTTGCTGCAGATGACCTAGGACTGCAAAAACAGAAATGGCTGGGTAGGGACTTGTGTGAGGAATGGATCAACCACTGCATTGGTTACTTCATCTCTGTGCAGTAGTGTAGGCGTGCCTGACACTGGACTGCAGCTACAGAGCAGTTCTTTATCTCACCAAGCCCTCCTGCACCAAATCTGGCTAACTGGGCAAGCGGCACGGAATAATATTTAGTTGTCATGTGGGCTGAGACAAATGCAGTGCAATTGCAGAAAGCACAGTTATTTTTTTTACTTTAGCTTCATTTTATCTGGTCTACCCACCAAAACTTTACCTAGCAAAGCAAGAACAAATTATAATAAGGGTCCCAATGTATTGGGAGCTTTATAAAATGTTTAAACCAATATTGTTATTTCAAACCTTAGCTGTAAGTCTCAATCCTAGGCTTCATTAGGGGTAAAAAATGTGTGGGTCATAAGATAAAATGTAATATCACTTTTCAAAAAAAAAAAAAAAAAAATCACAAGGCCTAGTGATTCATTTGAGTCCAGCAGCAGAAAAGGGGGAATATTTAATTACTTGCTCCCACAGCACAGTTTCGCATAATATGAAGAAAATTAATTGCAGCTAATGGTCTTTTAAAGGCCCAGGGGAGGAAAACACTGAAAGCCTAATCCTGCAGACTTTAGTGCAAACTCTGGTGGTACAGAAATGGTAGGTGATGGCATTGAAAGCTCTCATGTAAATTATGCAGCAGCTCACCACCTCTTTCCCCTTCTTCCTTCCCATTTTTAATTATTTTTTCCAGGGAGATTGCAACATGAAAACTAAGTCTAGTCTTGCACAGACCTACACACTTGTCACTGGATAAATGTAGTCAAAGGACTATGGATAAATATTAAAGCTTTGTAAGATGGCGGCCTGAGTCTGACAATCACCATCCTCTTCTTTACTCTTTCTTTTCCTTTCTTCCCATTCGTCCTCCAAAAAGGACTGTCATAATGAAGTAAGGCGTCACTTTCCCCATTATCCTTAATGAACTGTGATTGCATAAACAAGCTTGTGATTTTTATAATTATATTTTAAAACCAATTAGGTTTTAAAACCCCAATAGGGCCTTACAAAATTGATTTTATGAAGGGCACTGGGATTTTATTGCAGTAAAATACTCCCTAATATTTCAAGTGTCTAAAGCACAACATTGAAGACTGGGAATAGGGTGGTGCACATAAGCAGTAGTTTGATGACACCACACTACCATTTTTTCCTAATGGTCTTGCTTCCATTAAGAGGAGTTTTATCATTGGTACCATCTGGCTCATATTTACAAGGTTGGCATTGTTCCAAACCACAAAATATTGTTTAACTCTAAGTTAACGCTATACATGATTTGATATAATGCACATCGGTATCTAACTTTTCCAAACAGGTTCAAATATCTCTGGCATCTTTTCCTTTACTCTTGATGACAACTTATCTTTATCATAAGCCATATTCTTATAACTATACAGATAAAAGCAAACAGTTCTTGGCTAAAGTCTGTTTGGCTTAGAGGCAACAAATTGCCTATGACTAATTTATAACTGAAAGGTGTATTACACAGACAGCTGACTGTAGCTAAGTGCAGATTCTCAATCCTCCTGGTTGCCTTCAACTCCCATTTAAGTCAGTCAGAGCTACAGTTCATCACATAATCCAGACATATTCTGTCTATGATCTAGAACCTGAAGCACACATTAAAACTGTTTGCAGTGCATGACCAGTAAATATAAAGCTGTGTTTAATTTAAACAAAAACACATTTAGACTTTCAGTGTGGGATATACCTTGGAGTGGGGGATGTGGATTATAGGTGCATCTAACTCTGACTATGTGCAAAATAATGTATCCAACTACTGGAAATATTTTTACAATGAGGTGATTAGTGCCTCATTCAACTAACAATTTTGGCAAGCACTCTAAACACAGGATGTCACAGACAGATACAGGCACAGGATCACAAGAGTCAGTCACAAGAGCAAACATTGGTAGGGTGACATAAGAATTTCAAACGCATGCAAAGAAAGCTGTCACGGAGATGCTGAGTAAATGCATAAGCCATCTTAGAAGCTGCAGTAGAATTTAACTGCTAGTGCTTACCCACTAAGTACACCAAGAACCAGGTTAAGTACGAAAAATGAGCCAAGGATGATAAGACTAACAAAATAGATCCATGGCCATTCACATCCTATTGCATCATTTACCTGTAAAATGTAAGGAAATAAGTTATGATTCAGCCATTCATTAAACAGCAGAGTCCTTTTTTACAGCTGCCAGATCACGTAGGTGTTAATTATTTCAACACAAACTTTCCTTTTAGAACCTCATCTATAAAAATTACCTTCTCTTCACCCTCTACCTTTTTTCTCATTCGCCTATTAGGAAAAGAGAAAATAGTTACCTTCCTGAATGCTAAGAAATGTATAAAATCTGTTCGGCATTTGTCTTAGTTAATTTTTATGACAAGCAGACTCATATTTAATTTCTGTACTCATCCCATCAACCTACAGATCAGATTCTAAGTCCTATAACAGAAGATAAGCTTTAAACTGTCATCTTTATATGAATGGAAAGACATTTGTAAGTTTCATTATAACTAAACCTCAATTTAGTTATGAATAGGAAGAATATAGGCAGGTAATCCTTTTTTTTAAATAAATATCTGATTTTGATAACTGCACATTATTTTTCAGGGACCATGTTTCAGCTGTTTTAAGCTGTTTCTGTTCCAGCTTTATGGCATTTTTGCAGAGCAGAAAGAAAGAAAGCTTTTTTAAACCATGTCAACACTTTGTAATTGATATGTCACCTGCATAATCTAACCTGTGTGTTCATGGCAGCTGAATTCAGGACTCTGCTTTCATGATGAAAAAGGTGTATGCTTACCCGCTCAATACACCAAGAACAAGATTTAGTACGAAAAATGACCCAAAGATGACGAGACTGACAAAATACACCCATGGCAATTCAAATCCCATAGCATCATTCATCTGTAAGAAATAAGATGATCTTATAGAAGTAGATTACTATAGTATGTAATAAGGAAGAATCAGAGAAAAAGAAATGCAAGTGAGATAGTGTACATATTCCCCTTCACATTCATCAGAGACCAACAGGAAGAGGAGTAAGGCACTAACCACATTCACGTCACATTCCCAGCACACACTGAAAAGAAAGAGTGAATATTTCGTAGCTTTTCAAATCAAAACTATGTTACCAAATATATAAAAGTAGCAAGCAGTAATTTCGTTATTTAATGTTTAACATATGATTCCAATTTGCACATTATTTCTTCTAACTATAAAATACAATGAAACAAAGTAAAAATCTATTGAGAATATTTGGGATTTTTTTTCTTTTTAATGTCAGCATATTTCTTACCTATAGCTACTCACAAATTTCTTTGCCAAAATACATACAAAAAGGCAAAACATATACATTTCAATAATATAATTTTCCCAATATTTTTTCTGTGGCAAGAAGTTCCAATAAACTCCTACCACAATACTGAAATTATAGGAGGAGAATATTTTTATTTAATGCATGTTTTAAAAACAAATTTTTGCCCAGATTTAGAAGAATACTGGGAACATGGAAACATTTCTGAAAGGATTTTCAACAAAAATGGCATGAAACTCAACATTATAAAAGACAAACAGTTTGGGGGGGGTTTAAACTAAGGTTAAATTATTTGAATTCTGCATATCCTATTTATGTTCTTACATCCCCTTTTCCATCAACATTATTTTTCTTTCTGTATTTTTGGGAAACCTCATCACATCCATTTCAAAGATGGAAGCAAGAAACTTATCCACTAAAATCCAGAAAGGCCTATTCCAAAGGGAAAAAAAGGACACACATAAACACAGGGAAATGGTTTGCACGCTAGGCATTAAGGAGCAAAAAAAACATTCCTAACAATTTATCACCAGTCACTGCTGCTTATACTTCAAAAGATGAAAACAAGTTAAATTGTTTTGGCTTTCTTTTCATGTTGTAAGCTCACAATTCTGACCTTTTAGAATTAATTTCCACCCAGAAAAATCCCACCAGCATCAATGAGAATTTTGCCTCAACTATAGGACCAGGCACTTCATGGTGAAACAAACATTAGGCAAGACTTTCTATCCTGTTATTGAAGGATGTGAGCTGTGCTGACTTCCCCTCCCAGGTTTGCTGATGCAGGGATGTACAACACACAGCCTCTAGGCCACATGCAGCACACCAGGATGATCACTGTGGTCTGCCATCATTCTTTATTAAATCACTTCATTAAACACATAATGGATTTGAAAAGCAGAACAGCAAGCATGGTGAGGTGATTCATTAATCTGAGTCTACCTCTGCATGTACAATCCAGTTTCCCACTTGCAAATTAGCTTATCAACAAGTGGAGTGGATTTCATTTGTGATAGCCCTCCAGTGAGAAGCATACCAATACAAATTGCTCCCAGTAAAGTTTGAGCTATGCAGCCCTGGGTTCAAGCACTCACATCTAGGCCTTAGTATCCCTGTCATAAAATACGGGAGTCTTTTTTAAACACAGAAACGAAACTATATCGTATTTATTCCTTATTTTCTCGCTTTCTTTCTTTCTTTTTTGGTAGCTTCTTACCAAGTCTCCACTTCTTCAGGGTAAAAAGCTTGCTCAAACTTGGTTAGGGTTAAGGATGTGCGTAAGTCTTTGCAGGATTTGGTCCTTGGACAGTTTTCCTTGCTAATACTCAGTTGACTGGAACAAGGTCAGTCAATAGCTATTAATTTTTGTTTCTCGTAAAACCCCCCCCCCCAATTAACTTTATTTCCATTATGATTAAAATAGCAATATATGGCTTTACGTCTGGTATATCTTTCAGAAACAAGCTAACCATACATCATTTTGTGTTAAAAATGTTTAATGTAACTGAACAGAACTTGTGTAAAATCACTAGAAAAACTAAATGAAGGAAAACTTTTAAAAAGTATGTTTGGCTATTGAAATATTGTAATACAGCACTATTTTGGTTAACTAATCTATTCCTATGAACCTTGACAAAGTACCAAGGGACAAGTCATGCTCTGTTCTTGGTATTCCTTAGGAAAGAGAAAAGTAGTAGCTTTACAAGGGTGGAGTGACCAGGGAAGCAACCCTGGGTGCTAATTTTTGTAGGGGTCAGAATAAGAACAGACTCCACCACTGTTGGCCAGCCATACTGCCGCCAGTGCTGCCCAGGCACCAAGCTACCCTGTTATACCTCTGGAAAAAAGCAGTGTGCAAACACTACTTTAAAACACAAAGGTAATCTCACATGCCCGTCTCATGGAGGTGTGGTAGCCAAACTGAGAGACTAGTCCTCTTTTCTTCAAAGAAAAATCAGACAACAGGAAAGTAAGCCCTTTCAAACTCCTACCAGAGGATCTACATGCTGTAGTTGCTCCCTGATGGCTGTTTAAGCAACATGTATTTCTGCTAACTTTTCTCTCAGTATCTGCCAGATACCTATGGTCAGTAGCACTGGCACTTCTTGACATGTCCTATGTTTTCTCACTTCTTGGACACATGACATTTGCTTGCTGGACAAGCATCCACTACATTTGATGAACCCTAACCACAAGGAAATCTTCACAGGTAAGTAAGAATAGAGTCCTGTATAGGCTTCATTCCTCCCCACCCCCATTTAGTTTTGGTGCCCTTTTTCTTTTCTTTTCTTTTCTTTTCTTTTCTTTTTCTTTGGTGCCTTTTTTCTTTGGTTCTCTACCCTATGACATGCAGCTGGAAAAATCATCTGGCCTTCAAACTTCTAGAAAACCCCTTCACATTAGATGGATGTGATTTTAAAGCTCAGTATTTTGTAACCATCACTGTCATGGGAAAATTGGAAACTGCACCAATCCAGTGTTACATGCTTGTTTCTACATTTGGCAGGTGAAGGAATAACCCAAATTAAAAGTGTTCCTAGTACCTTTTGCATTTTGGTGCTGGTTTAAGACTGATTTTGACACATACTAGACTTAGGATTAATATAATAAGCCATACAATTTCTACATATACTCCCTCAAAAGAACAGCTCCTGATACAGTAATGCCAGTTGGACCTCATCGCCTGTGGGTTCAACCTGACAGTGAGGGTGGTCCAGATGACAGGGACAGTCATGGGGCCAGAAAGAGAACAAGGGAAAGGAAGTGTGACCTTGTGGATAATGGGATGGACAATGTCCTTGGAGGGAGTGAATCCTGGGTTCTAGCTCCTACTCACATTCATTTTATCCATGAGTTTGTACTGTATAATGCAGCAGTTCCCAATCTGTGGTACGCATACCATCAGTGGTACACCAACAACCTGTCAGTGGTACATGTTAACAGATTTATTATAATTACTTTATATGACAAAAATTTGCTGGTAGTACTTAAGGTTGTATCATTTTAAATTGGTGGCGCACAATCTGTCAGAGTTTGGGAACCACTGGTATAATTAGTACAAGAAGCAAACTGAAAGAAGTGTGACTTCATAGCCTGATAGCTAGGGACACTCAATTATACAGTAGGGGTCCTGGATTCCAGTACCAGCTGCCAGGAGTCCTCATGTGCTTGGCATCAAAGAGTTCTTGGATAAAATGGATAAGTAGCAATAGGAGGAGGGACCAGGACTCCCCCATTGTCTTCTGGTTCTGTGACTTATCCATGACTCTGTATTCCTTTCAGCCTAGTGGCCCAACCTCCAAGTTCAGAAAGGAAAATGTTTGCAGCTCTACCAAACTCATACCCTGGTGAATAGGGGATGGTTTTAGGAGGTCGATGTGGGTTGAAACCCCCTCAGGGTGAGAGAAACCTTGAGCCCAACTTTTCTTACTTCCTATGAAAGTACTTAAAAAACTGGGCTACATGCAAAAATTGTTCATGGTCCTTTGGGGGACTTTCACAGTTTATGTACTTTCCCAGATGGAAATAGATAAGGACAGTAAGTAGAATTAGATGTCCAGGTGGCTGCATTAGATTGCATCTGAACATGGTTAAGTCTAGCTGCACAAAGGATTTTTTAGGCTACAGTTGAGGTACATAAGAAATCTAGACCCTCTTGTGGCATTTCTAATATTACATAGGGAGAAATAGGATGACATTTAGTAACTAAAGCAGCTAAAGACTATCTAAGTGTCTTGTGAGGTGAAATACAATTCAGGCTTCACCCTCCAGAAATAATGTTTTGCAATCCAAACTACTGCCTCAG